TGCCTTCTCTCAAAGTGACCTCTCTTCCTGGCTTCCTCTCTCCCTCACCTCCCCCTCGCCCCACTCTGGCAACCCCCTCTCCTTGTCGCCCGCGAGCAGCAGGGCAGGGGTCTGGTTACAGTCATGGAGCAGCTGCGTGTCTACAGCCGTGAGATAGATACTGCTCCCCGGACCCACTGGGAACTCCTCACCCGTTCACGGAGACACGGAAGCAGCCTTCGTGTGCACCGACGGGTAGAGCGAGTATGTGTGCGATGTGCACCCACACACATGCACACGAGGAATGTTAGAATTTTAAAATGAATTAAATCCTGTCATCTGCCACATGGATAAAACCCCGAGGGGATCATGCTAAAGTAAAATAAGGCAGGAAAAGAAACACTGCTGGTTGTTGCCGAGGGGTGGAGGGATGGCAGGTTGTAGGTCAAGGGCACAGACGTCCAGTTAGAAGAGGAGTGAGTCGTGGGGACGTGATGCCCAGCATGGTGTCTGCAGTTTCTACCGTATTGTATACAGTAGATCTCATAGATCGCACACCCCGTACACAAAAAGTGTGTGAGGTGATGGGGGTCAGCTAGCACCAGAGACACCTGTGTCCAGTCCACACTTTTGCACCTACACAGTGTCGTGTGTCTCAGTAAGCTGGGGGCGAGCGTGCGTGTGCTTGGATTCTCGGTCGTGCGGACTGGCGGCAGGCCACCGAGGAATGACGAGAGGCCTGGCTGTAGGGTAGCTGTCGGCTCGCCGGGATTCCTGTGAATCTCGGCTGTGAAGCTCGGCCCCTGTCACCTCCACACCCTCCACCACACCTCCACCTCAAACCTGCTGTACGGCGAGCACGGTAACCACTGTGGCTTCCTGATTTCTTTGTTTTAAGAACTAACACACAGTGAAAGCCATCTTCCTCCTGATTTTCCTTTTCCACCTTTACTGAACAAAACAAGGAAAAACATGCTTTTAGAAAGCATTAAGACATCAAGAAATTCTCAGCGCGCCTCCCGCCGCAGCGCACTTCCCTGCGGTGGGCGCAGTCTAGGGAAAATGGGCACCCTTGGCTAAGAGAACAACCGGCGTTTGTCAAGAGGGCCTCTTCTGCACCTCCAGAGGCTCGTGGGCCCTCGGCCCGGCTGTGTGCGCGGGAGCCGGGCTCCCCACGGTCTGAGCGTGCTGTCTGCGATCACCGGGCCGCCTGGACCGGCTCCCCTTTGAAGCTGTCGAAGCTAGCGGCTCCTTCCAGCCTCCCGTTCCTCAAATGAGGATCTGTCTGTGGCCCAGATGGGTCTTCGATGATGCCTTCGCTGTCGTGGCCGACTTGGGATGAACACGGAATTACTCTGAGCGAGCTTACCAGATTGCTGTCTACGGGCAGAGGCCGTGGGAACCACCGAGCAAGGCAGCGTGCAGCCTGCCTCGACTTTACATCTTTCCAGCGACTGGCAGTAGAGGGGGACGAGAAACGTCCTCCGAGGGCCTCCAGTTCCAAAGGAACCTGACGGGCGACTCTCGGGGCCTGTGCGCTGGTGCTACCGTTGCTGGCTTTGGCTCCGAGTGCTCCGCTGTGACCACTGTCATCTCCGCGACAGGCTGACAGCACTCCGGAGGCCACACGGCACGTGCCGGAGGTGCCCGACCTGACCAGAGCCCAGTGAGTGTGCTCTGGGGGCGGTGGGCGCAGGGTGGCCCCTCGCTCCCCAGCCCCGCATCCTTCCTGGACTGGCGGTCGGGCTGTGCTCCCCAGGCCTGCCTCCTGTCTCCTGCTCACCTGCTGCCCGTCGCCACGCTGCTTACGCCAGAATAGGATGGCCGTCGCAGGTTTGGCACGAAGAGGCAGAGGTGAGGGGAGGCCACACTTGGATCACTGCACCGTGAGGCGGGCTGTGGGGGGCCGTGTGGTATTTCCAGAAGCCCTGCCAGCCATGCAGAGACAGCCGTTCAGAAAAGGCCAGTTGTCCTCAGGTGTTAGATGTTTTGAGGAGCCTCTCACGGGCTCAGAGTAAATAAGCAGCAGCCTCGCTCTTTTCCGTGGCTCACAAGGCAGTGCCTCACCTGCACGTCCCTGTGCAGCGTGGTCCCGGGCACTCAGCTGAGGGCACCGCAAGACCACATGTCTCCACCTGTGTCCCCTGAGAAGTGGTCTCAAAGGTTAAAGCCAGCCTTATTTTTTTTTTTTTTTTTTTTTTGAGAGACAGAGACACAGAGCATGAGCGGGGGAGGGGCAGAGAGAGCCGGAGACACAGAATCCGAAGCAGCTCCAGGCTCCGAGCTGTCGGCACAGAGCCCGACGCGGGGCTCGAACACACTGACCACGAGATCATGACCTGAGCTGAAGTCGGACGCTTAACCGACTGAGCCACCCAGGTGCCCCAAGCCTTGTTTATTTTTAAATGAAATTCCAGAAGAAATCACGTAGAATTACAGGCGCTGATACGGTGAGACGAAGCTTCCGTGCCACGTGAGGCTCCCCGGTTGTGTGTCTGTCTGTGTGTCCTGTTCTGGGTGCTCCGCTCCCCCGTGCCTGCCCCTTGTGCTCTCCCGTCCTCCCGAGTGTTGCTGTCTGCCCTGTGGTGACCGCCACCGGGGGGACTTTGCAGATGGGCCAGGTTCCCAAGCTCCAGCACTGGAGCCTGGATGCAGCCTGGGACTGCGTGGCCAGCACCCCCGGGCGGCAGCTGCTGGCGCTGGGGACACGCTCCGAGTTGCGGGATACGGGACGCGGACTCCGTGCGTCTCCCCTGCCCTGTCGTCTTTTTACTTTGCTTTTTATCTTCCACCACTCTCTTTCTGAATGACGGCAAAAGGAATCTTTTTTCTTCTCACAAGGAAATACAAGTGTTTCTTGTGACTTTAGCAGGAGTCAGAGATTTCCTCACAGGTGACCTCGGAAATCTTTCCTTGTACTCGAAGACAGAGATGAACATCCTTTGCTGGGAGCAGGTGTGTGTCCCGCCTTAGAACATACCAGTACCTTTGGCTAAAAGGGAGCCCGGGAGCTTGGTTCACTGGACGCCTTTCGCGGCTGGCGCCCTTCAGTCACAAGTTAGAGTCTGGGAGACCAGAAGGAAACCGTGTCTGACACAGCGGCGTGTGACTTTGAATATAGGGACGGTATTTTCAAACACATCGCCATCTGAGGCATTTTTCGTACCCCTCCCATGAGCCGGACGTGGGTCAGCCCCTTCCCACGCTCCCCCGTTCACAGAAGCAAAGCGTGCTGCTGCCTCAGTTTCCCCACTCGCGCGCTCCCACGCCTCGCTGCACGTGGCCACCCACGTGCCTGCTCTCGCCCTGCCCTTCGTTTGCCCCTGCTTCTCCGTGCGGGGGGCCCTCTGGTCTTCTGTTTAAGGGGATACGAAATCTGTGGAGTTTCTTTTGTCCAAAGACGTCTTTATTTTGCCTCCAGTTTTGAAGAGAACACCTTGGGTGGCGGTTCTGTCATTTCTCTGTGGTGCCGTCCCGCTGTGTCCTGGCGCCCGCCCTGCCCCTGCCCCTGCCCCGGGGGCTCCTGCTCTCCTGGGGCAGCCAGTGTTAGGCCCGGATGCACTTTGCATGCGAGTCTTACAGCTGCGACCTGCTCACATCTGGCCGTATCGTTCTGTCCTGTGTGCTGGGGTTTCCGCCACACGTGTGAGCTGTGACTTTCCGTCCGTCCGTCCGTCTGTCTGTCCTCACGGTCCAGCGGGTGTTTTCTACCAGCCGCTTTCCAGCTGCGACTCTTCTGCCGAGTCCACCTTGGGGGCTCTAATTTTCATTATCACATTTTGCAGTTACAGAACTTCTACCTTATTCTTTCTGGCAGATCCGATTCTCTGCTGAAATTGTCCGCAGGGAATACCGTGTGGTCTCCTGACCGGGGCGGTATCGGCACCCCACCCCCACCCCGGGGTGCCGGTCCTGCTCTTACCTCCTTTGCTAAGCCAGTTCTTCTCTCTTTCCCTCTTGGACTCTAGACCCTGTGTGTGGAAACCTCAGGTGCCATGAGGCTCTGTGTGGGGCTGTCTCCCACCGAGGGTTGTTGTGGGGCGGACCTCGCCCGTTGCAGGCTGAGTCGCTTCGAAGCTGGCCTTCCCTGTCCCATAGCCGGTTAACTCTCGGTGCTGGGGGCAGCCCAAAGTCCGCGGTGCTTCCACAGCCTGTCCTCCTCGGTGGGCGTGGAATTGCAGAGTGCTCCACGCAGCACCGCGCCACGAATCGGAGCTGCCGTCCCCTCGGGGTCCAGGCAGCCGCTCACGGCAGGCACACGACTCGGGTGAAGGGCCGCACCGAGCTGGGTCTCCACACACCCTTCTCTCCGGGACCTTTGTCCCGGCTTCGGGGTGGTTCCCTGATGCCTTTAAGTGGACTTTCTGAAATGCGGCTTTTCTGGTTTTTCGGAGCCGGGTGGTCAGTTACAGAGCGGTTGGCTGCGGCCTGCGGCAAAGGTCCTATTTCGTACGTTTGCGGCCCCCCGGCGCGTCCGGAACACCCGGAAGGTCCCGGCCACGGGGTTGTGTCTCAGCCGTTGCGTGTTCCACGCTCTTGGGCAAACGTTCCAGACGGGTAGCGTTTTCTCACCGGCCGCCGTACTTTGTTCTGACTAATTCGTAGTTCCAAAAGTGCTCGTACTGAGCTTTCCGAGAACGCGTGTTACGTCAGTTCGAGTCGTGGGCGTGAAAGTGAACGGTGACAAAGCAGGAAAGAGAAGGATGGCTGGCTTCTAAGTAGGCTGGGGTGAGACCAAGTCCCACACTTGCCTGTTGGTCATTGGGGACAGCCCAGGGGCAGAGGGAGGGGCCGGAGCAGAGGTCAGGACTCCTTGACCCCGGCACGCCCCGTGGCGGCTGTGGGCTCCGTGTCCACCCCCCCCCGCCATGCCCCCCACCTGCTGGCGGGGACACCATGAGGCCCACGGGCCCCTGACGACAGAGGCGGCAAGTTGCGGCGTGTGCCACACGCTTGGCCTGTGGCAGGGCCGCCCTTGGAAGACAGAACTAAGGGGTTTGCGTTTGTTTTGTCCTGCTCAGATCACCCGAAAATTCCGGCTGAATTCTGACGGCAAACTCGAACAGACGGTCTCCATGGCAACCACTACCCAGCCCATGACTCAGCATCTTCACGTCACCTACAAGAAGGTGACCCCGTGACCCCGAGCGTGTGTTGTGACCCTTCGGCTTCCCCGTGGACGCCCGCAGCAGGTGTGGGTGTGGCCGCAGGTCTCCGTGGGCTCCCGCGTGTTGCCACGTGTTCTTGTAACGGCGTAGAAAAACCAAATAAAAGGCCTTTATTTTTATGACGGAGCATTTTGAATATTGTCCCTCGTGTAGACTGTGCGTTTCTTCCATCTGCCGGTGGCTGCTTGTTTTCCAGTCTTTTCCCTAAAAAATTAAGGAGTGACTCTCGTGTTCCCTCACCTTTTCTTCTGGTAGTTTTGGCAAGATCTAAAATACCTATAAATCTTCAGTGGGGGAGCCGACAACCAACGCGTCACAAAGGGGATCAGTTACTTTATGACTTTAGAGCTGACGGTCTCGGGGGCCCCATCTGCACAGGTGAAGGGCGTTCCCGCGGCCGTGAGTCCCTCACACCCCCCGCCGTTCTGTGCGGACCGCTGCTCTCATTTGTGTGTGTTGTGCAGTCTCCCAGCCACCCAGCCGTCCCCCTCCCAGGGCTTCGTCCCTTCTCCCTTCTTTTCGCTGGAGTATTTTTAAACAAATTCCCGGCCGTTTCCACCAACTGCTTCAGTGTGCATATCAAAGCAAAACAAACCGTTTGCTTCTTCCTAACACCCCACCTTAAAAGCCCAGCCCTGAAGTGGAGCCCACGTGAAGGGAGGTGGTGCCCCAGCCCCAGGGAGAGGAGGACCAAGCCTCCCCCCCCCCCCCCCCCACCCCGGGCTTGGGGACAAAGGCGGTACCAGGTGAGGTGGCCAGTACCTAGGAGCTCAGGAGGGACCAGGACTGGTGACCCAGGTACCAAGCGGCCAGGGAGGTTGCTGCAAGCCAAGTAAATCCAGGGCAGGAGACTCGTATGAAGTCATCCTGAGGTGAAGTCCCCTCTAGCTGCGTGTGAAACCAGACAGTTGAGGTGCTTCCCGAACATGGCAGGCCAGGGACAGTGTGGACGCTCCCCGGCAGGGCCAAAACCTGAAGGCGGCAAAGTCCCGCTCTTTGGCTCCGGGCCTGCCCGGAGGCCCGCAGGGTGGAGGCCCTGCCTCCCCAGCTTTGCTGGACGCAGCCCACATGCGGCTCCCTGGGACGCGCTCCTGTGGGATTACGCGGCTGTGCCGCGTAGATTATATGCACTTCTCTGGGGTCTCTGCGGCTGGAATCACGCCAGCGGCTCCACCCGCGTGGGGCATGGGTCTCTGCCGAGACTCCGGGCCACTTCACCCTCCAAAGTCTAGGGGGAAGTAGCAGAGCCCCTCTGGTTAGGATTTCAGCATCTGGGCTTTGGGGAAAACAAACATTTGGACTTTAGCACCGGAGGCCCCGGAAGCCGGCAGGGCGGCCTCCACCCGCGGCCCTCCCGCCCAGAGCTGCTTGCGGGGTGGGCTCGGAGCCCAGGACCAGAAGCAAACATCCGGCACGGTCTGGTCCCTCCCCCGTGCCGTTTGGGAACGGGGTCTCTAAGCCCGGAAGGTGTTCCCCAGGCTGAACTGGGGGTGTGTCTGTCTCGTTCCTCCGTCCCTTCTGTCCCCGTGGATGGAAGTTCTCACTGGACTGTGTATGCCCAGAACTTCTGTCGCCACTCCGGCAGTCACCTGTCCAACTGCCGCCCTTTGCTGATGCTAAAATTAAGAGGCCCCAGTGGTGGGGGGCTGACCCCATCTCTCACTGGGGAGTCCGCCACCATGGGGGATCTCTTCCTGAGCCAGCCCCACGGTCAGCGCTGCAGACTGGCCGCCTTACCACTGTGGTCGTTTCTTTATTTATACATTTACGTCATCTCCACGCCAACATGGGGCTTGAACTCACAGTCCCCCAATCAGCAGGCATGCTCCTCCCAGCAGCCGGGCACTTTTCTTTTTCCCTTTTCACAGAGCCGTTGTATTTTATCGGGTCTGGCATATTTCTTATTTAACAAAATAGAGGAGCCAAAACTGCAAACCGGTCAGCAGTGTCCTGATGGGAAGAGGGGCTCCGCTCCCTCCGACCCTTCCCACCCGACTGGAGCTGAGCGGCATGGAGCAAGCACGGCTGCTGACAGCGGGTAGGACCCAGGTCCTGCGACTCCTGCCTTCTGCGTGTGTTCAGGGGCATCTGTGGATCAGGGAGACCCCAGGTAGGAGCTGAGGAGTCAGCTCCTGGGTAGATCAGAGATCCCAGCGGATGCCCACCTTGGACGCCATGCCTGCCTCCCTCCTTCCCCTTCTGTGACTCGTTCATGCCTGCAGCGCTGGAGAGACAGAAAGGAAAACCAGTTGCAGCCGTCAGAGGGGGAGGCTGAGACTCCTGCAGGTGTCAGCGGGGCGCCTCCCGCCACATTCCCCAGCGGCCCTGCCACCACCCACACAAACAGGAGAAGGAAAGGCAGGGATTCCAGGGACAAGCCAGACGTTGGGATCCCAGGCTCTCCTGGAAAATTGAGGAGACTATGGAAATTTCTGGGGCATTTCCAAGGAGACAGCGGCTTCAGAAGAGCCTGGAAACTCCTATTCTGACAGCCTGGGGTGGCGGGGGCGCAGAGCCATAGTCCGTATCGCAGAGCTGCTGACCACCTCCAGGCCTCTCTGCGCTCAACCCAGCCACCCGCGACCTACCCGCTGGCTCAGGCCTCACATTTCCCCTCCACATCCTCGTCCCCTCCTACAAGGCTCTCAGAGGCCCTCGTCTAAAAGGCCAGTCAGTGCCATGGACAGAGTAGCCTGTCTGAGAAGGAAATCGTAGGGGAAATGCATGAGATCACGGATGGGGAAGCGCCACAGCAGCAGACATTCTGTCTAGTGTTGTAGTCTCTGGAGTGGGGATGGGCGGCGGAGAACCACTCACTTCCTATCGCAGGGGCCCCCTCAGCACCGCTGTCAGGCAGGAGGGGTGGGAGCTCTTGGGAGTGGGGAACACCCCACGGACACACTGCCTGCCCACTCCCTGCCCCTTTAGCTCCAGCCATCTGGACCACTAAATCCCCAGGCTCTTCTACAGCCCCCAGGGCAGGGCTGGGAAGAGAGGGACAAGTCCTGCCACCACTAGGGCCAGAGCATGGTCCCCGGGACACCTGACCCCCTCTCTTGAAGGACTGGCTACATGACAGTCAGAGAGCTGCATGGACCTCACACTGTTCTCTTCCTGGAGCCGTGGTGTGAGCGGCAGATGGGAGAGAGAGAGAGGAATGGAAAGGCTTGTCAGAGACCCGGAGAGAGGCATTCAGAGGCGGAAGGGACAGGCCTCCCCACCAACTGCTTTGTTTTAAGTAATCTCTGTGCCTAACACGGGGCTCCAGATATCGACCCCACGGGGCACCTGGGTGGCTCCGTCGGTTAAGCATCCGACTCTTGATTTCAGCTCAGGTCAGGATCTCGCGGTTCACGAGATCAAGCCCCAAGTCGGGGTCTGCACTGACAGCACAGCCTGCTTGGGAATCTCTTTCTCCCTCTCTGCCCCTCCACCGTGCACGCGTGCACACACACACACTTTCTCTCTCTCTCTCTCTCTCTCTCTCTCTCTCAAAATAAACATTTAAAAAACAAAATATCGGCCCTGGGATGAGTCACATGCTGCCCCCACTGATCCGGCCAGGCACCCCAACAGCAGTCACTCCTGCACTGGGGGATGAATTGTCAGGAAGAAACTCCTTCCGCGTGCAGCAGGCTGAGCCTGGTCGCCCTGAAGTAACTTCCCAGCAGAAAGCCGGCCGCCATTTGCGTCAGAAAGCCCTAGCACCTCAAGTGGAGGCCCACACCCAAGGCTCCTCTGCTCCTCCTGCTGCCCGGAACCTGTGATTCGGGTCAAAGGGGGCGGGAGGTGCTCAGAGGACAGGAGGTCGAGGGTGGGAGGTCAAAGGTGGTGGGAGGTGCTCAGAGGCCAGAGCGCACAGCTGTGTCCCGTGGCCTCCGCTCTGGTGGCGGGGTGCTCAGAGGCCGCAGGCCCACTGCCCTGCTTCCCGCCTGCGTGGGCAGAGCCAGAAACGGAGTTACACTTCATGGTCTCGGCACCGCCGTGGCCCGTTTGAGGTCGCCACGCAGTCGGCGCCTTCCCCGTGGCTGCTGCCTCAGCACAGGGGACTCACATTCGTGTTTACGGGGAAAAGCGTAGCATCCGTGCCGTCTCCAGTTCACGCTCTAGGAGCGCAGAACTTTTCACCTAAACTCTTTGATCTTACCTCTTCTAAGGTGAAAAATCTTGGTTCTTTGCAATATTAGTTGCTTTAGTCTCCAGGTACACAGCGTTTTCAGAGGAGTAACACTGTGACAACGGACCGAGCCGGACGTCTCAGTTTTTCCTTTTGGTTTTGCCCCTTCCCAGCAGAGAGAGCGAGTCCAGATATAGTCGAACTGGACTCCTCGGTTTCCCTGGTGCTTCCGGCACCGGCTCGCCACACGAGCTCCCTGCGTAACTCTCTGATCGACTCCGCGAGGTGGCTCTGCTTACGCAAAACCCCCGACGTGACTTTATTGCCAGGACCGTAAAATAGGGCCCACTTGCCCGCCCCCAGCTGCAGGTGCTTCTGGGGCAGCCAGGCCACGGCTCACCAAGCGGGTCCCCTCCCGCCGGACGCCCACCCCGCTTCCGGTCTTCGGCGGGCCTAACGATGTCCCCACCAGTAACCTGCCGCTTTGGGTTTCTGCCGGCGCACGCAGGCGGGACGTCCAGGAGGGGGGCTGCCAGCCCAAGGCCAGCGGCACAGGGCACCCAACCCCTCGGGGCTGTGCCCTCCACCCCCACGGCTGTGGGAGGCCGCCTGCCCCACCAGCCGGGCGCTCGTCAGGGAACGGGAGCTGGGCTAGCTGGGGTTTGCATTTCTCTTGTTTTATTTTTTTCTTCTGGGTTTTTGTAGCCGGTGCACTCTTGAATTTGGAATATTAATCCTGACATGAACGTTCAGTTACAATTTTTTTATTGAGGGAAAACACACCGTTATGACATAAAGTTCGCCATTTTAACCAGTAACTAAAGTACAGTTTAGCGGCATTTAGTACCGTCATCCTCCTGGGCAACCGTGACTTCTGCCCTCTCCCAAACCATCCTTGTCGTCCCAGAAGGAAGCCCCCGACCACGTGATGGTCACTCCCGTCCCCCGACCCCTAGCCCTGGCGCCCACTACTCTTTTCTGTCTCAAGTTACAAGTCTTTTTGAAAATGTTAAATGCCTTTTTATCCACTATGCATTTTGTCTTTCATCGTTCCTGAATTTTACGTCTTACTTCGGAAGGTTTTGTCTGTTCCCCAGTTACAGAGAAAATTACCCATTTCTTCCAGTACGTATTTCATGATTTACACTTAGGTCTTTGACCCACTTGGAATTTGTCCCCGTGTATATTGTGACCTCAGGTCCCATCTCGTCTCTTCCCCCACCTTACTCGCGGACTCAGTTCTGCAGGCACTGGGGTCTGGCTCTGGCTGTCCCAGGTCCCCCGGACTGCCTGCCTGCACTTGGCCTCGTGCTCGCGGTTCCGTGACAGACGCCACACCGGGCTCAGCTACAGGCGGGCTTCTCCCTCACCTTTCTCCTTTTTAAGATTCATTCTGGGGGCGCCTGGGTGGCGCAGTCGGTTAAGCGTCCGACTTCAGCCAGGTCACAATCTCGCGGTCCGTGAGTTCGAGCCCCGCATCGGGCTCTGGGCTGATGGCTCAGAGCCTGGAGCCTGCTTCCGATTCTGTGTCTCCCTCTCTCTCTGCCCCTCCCCCGTTCATGCTCTGTCTCTGTCTCAAAAATAAACATTAAAAAAAAAATTTTTTTTTTTAAAAAAAAGATTCATTCTGGCTGTACTTTTTTTCATTTTTAAAATTTTTTAACGTTTTATTTCTTTTTGAGAGAGAGACCGAGCACGAGCAGGGGAGGGGCAGAGAGAGAGAGGGAGACACAGAATCCCAAGCAGGCTCCAGGCTCTGAGCCGTCAGCACAGAGCCCGACGTGGGGCTTGAATCCACGAACCGTGAGATCATGACCTGAGCTAAAGTTGGACGCTCAACCAACTGAGCTACCCAGGCGCCCCTATTTTTGCTTTTTAAGAAAATTTCCTCCCATTAAAATTAGCTTGTTCGGGGGCGCCTGGGTGGCTCAGTCGGTTTAAGCATCTGACTTTGGCTCAGGTCACCATCTCACGGTTTGTGAGTTCAAGCCCCACGTCGGGCTCTGTGCTGACGGCTCGGAGCCTGGAGCCTGCTTGGGATTCCGTGTCTCCCTCTCTCTCTTTGCCCCTCCCCTGCTCGTGCTCTGTCTCTCAAAAATAAAATAAACCTTAAAAGAAATTTTTTAATCAGCTTGTTTAAATCTAGAAAAAAAATGCCATTCTGATATGTCTACAAGGATGCATTAGATTTGTAAATTTGCTTATGAAGAATTGTCTTCTTTGTGGATGGATTTCCTCTCCGGAACATGGTGCCTCCGTCTGCTCAAGTCCGTGTGGGGTCTTGAAGGCACACGAGCCTTCCGCACACAGGCTCTCTCACTGTTGGGTTCACGCAGAGGAGTCTTATCCATTTGTTGCTGTTGGAAACAGAGCCTCTCTCCTACCGCGTCCTGTAACAGAGGTGTGTGAAGACAGCCCCCGTCTGATCTCCCTGCGGTTTCGGACCCTGCTGCTGTCCTGTGCTGCCAGCCTGCCCCAGGATTGGGTCCAGGGGGTGAGGGAGGAAGCTGGGGCAGGCCCAGTGGGCAATGAAGACCTGACCGGCATCGCCTGCCCCCGTCACGGGCACCAGGGCGAGAGGGCAGGCAGGGCTTGGAGGAAGCAGCATCCTTACAGCCAGCCGACTCCCACCCTGTGGCCGCTTCCCTGGGAGGCTGGATGGGAGGGCCGGGCCAGCTGACTTCAGCCTTCCTCTGGCTGAGCCATACGTTGCACAGAAAGGGAAACCCAGACCACGGGAGACTGAGTGGCAGAATCCAGCACTGTGTGCCTGTGGCCTGAGCAGGAGTCGGGCCCCCATGGGGAGAATGTCCGTTCACCAGAAAGCCGGGGGTGCGGACTGCCCGGAGCCAGCAGCCAGGCCTCTGGGCCCAGGGGGAGCCCGGGAAGGGGCACGGAGGCCGTGGCCGGCAAAGCAAGGGGAGGAGAACGGCCGGGCTGGACTGAGGAGTCGTGCAGGGCGGGACCGCTGAGCATTTGTTCCCAGTGTGTGTGTGCGTGTGTGCCCGTGACGCCGTGCATGCACGAATGTGTCCGTGTGGAGCTCCCTGTCACAGTGCGTGGCAGCAGAGGCCGCCCTAATCAGGGAGCGTGCTGGGATGCTTCCGCACTCGTGTTTTCTCACCTGCCTCCTGTCCCGTCCCTGGGCGGCAGGGCAGGGCAGAGGCACCAAGAAAGCAGATGGGTCACCTCCGTTGCCATGAAACTTTATTGGGACTGAACGCACACACACCAGCCTTCTTGTTCACAGGCTCCTGTGCTCTCGGGTCAGGCGTGCCGGCTTGGAGCCCACACCCCTGGTCCCCACAACACAGCCTCCCTGCCATGGGAGGGGGACACGCACTCCCTCCAGAAATGGATTAAGCAACCAGCACATGAGCTCTATGCCCTGTTTACAAGGTCAGTAAGACCCCACGGCTCCTCCAGCCTTGGCCAGGCCAGGGTCTCCTTCCGACTGAATGTGCAGGGCCCACGGCCCAGCTCACGTCCTGACGTGGTCACCCTTCACGGACGGGACCCGGGCATCAAGTGACAGCCTGGCGTTCCCAGCCCCCTTCCTTTGGGACCTGGATGGTGACCCTGGCTTCATGGCTCCAGATGGAAGAGGACAGGGAGGGGTTCCAGGGGAAGGCACTGAAACCCAGCTCCAGGCCAGGGAGGCCCCCGCTGCTTCCCCTTCTAGAGGGCCAGGGTCTGTGGACCAGGGGCTCAGGGCAGGGCCTCCGGCACCGAGGCGGGGCTCTGAAGATCGGAGCGTTCCCAGCCTGGTTGGGGAGGACGTTGGCGCTTTCGAGGGCCGGGGGTCTCCTGGGTCGGAGAGCCTGGCTTCGGCCTCTGCCCGAGCCAGCGGCTCATCTCTCTGGCAACAGCACGAAGAAGGCGGCCTTCAGGAAGCGGCCGAAGCTGCAGAGTGCGGCCACCAGCCAGTGTGAGCGGAAGCCGGGCTCGGTGCTGACCACACACTTGAGGACATCGGTCTGGGAGGGAAGAGGGCACAGTTAGAGGGCAGGGCACCTCACACGGATGTCCGCCGACACCCACGAGGGGGTGCGCGAGGCCGTTAGGGAAGGCCCGTGGTCCACTCCGGACGGAAGACCCGCGTGGGGCCGACCCGGCCACGAGAAGCGAAGGGAGGAGGTAGGTGGAGGCAGGGAGCGGCCAGCCGACGGGAGAAGCCTGCGGTGCCCACGTGAGGACTCCACCGCCAGCCCCGTGGCCACTACCTGCAGCCACGTCCCCGCAACCCCTGGCCTCCTTCTGCCTTGGCCCTGTGGAGCCTGGGGCGCCAGGAAACGCCAAGCCCAGCTTCAGACTCTCCCTTCGAACAGGAGTGGACACAGCTTTCCAGAACCCCAGGGAACGGCCACTATTTCTTCCTATTCCTGCTAAGAAATGAAGTATTTTCTCTACAGTCCAGACTTGGACCGTGGTGGTCACGGCCTTGCTGGCTCCACGGAGAGGAAGCAGGAGGGACAGAGGCCCCGGGGTCCCTGCTGAGGGACACCCACAGCCACAAGTCACCCTGGAGGCAGTGTCCCTCCGCCTGCCTCCCGCAGCGCCAACTTCAGATGAGCCTCCGGCCCCAGAACCTCGGCCTTCGGCTCCGACCTCGGCGGAGGGCTGAGCTCTGTCATCCACAGCCGGCCTCGCACACCCTTGCCCGCCATCCCTTTTACAGAGAAGACTGAGATCTCCTGTGGGAGCCTGGCCAGGGCTGCGCGGGCGGCTGGGGCGCGGGGACTGATGGGTAGGACGCCTGCACGCATCCCTGCGGGCCGGGCCGATGTGCCCCACCTCTCCTGGACAGAGGGGTCACGGCTGCAGACCAGCTTCTGCCCTGCGGGGGACTCCCGGACAGCAGGACTTTAGCCCTAGAGGTGGGGGGAGGCTCCGGCCTTGGAGGGAGCTGGGCCTCACCCCTGCCCCACCCAGCAACCCCTTCCCGGGACCTCAGGTGCCCCTCACCCATCCGCCGCGCCTCCGCAGCCAGGGCGCCAGGGTCTTGCGCACAAACTCCCCGAGGCAGTCGACGATAGCGTGGACCATGGCGGGCTGGGCCTGCCGCACACAGTCTACGGCCAGCCCCGCAGCCACTGAGTACAGGGACACCACCTTGCCCCACGTGATGCCTGCAGGGAGAGAGACAGACGCCGGTCAGCAGAAGGCCACCCAAACCCTGGCTCCAGTCCAGCCCTCGGGGTCGCAGGAAGGGCCTCTCTGAGCCACGCCCCCTGCCATCCTCCCACTGATGACTGGGGTGGGCACCCAGGGCGCCAGCCTCCACCCCACCTGGACAGGTGCCCTGCCAGCTGACCGCCAGGCACGAGCCCCAGCCACCCTCCATCACAGGTCAGTCCTGCCACCCTCACGGGTAGTTCTTAGGTGGAGATTCTCGAAGCCCCCGTTATCCGCCCGCACACCTGTGCCAGCGCCCAGGACAACCTCGCACGGCCCACCGTCTGCCAGAGGAGGCGATAAGACAGCAAGGCAGTTCAGTGAGGAGGAAACGGAGGCCAGGGGCGAGGGTGGCCAAGTGACCTGGAGCTGCGCACTGTGTCCAGTAAGAGGCGTCAAGCCACACCTGCCCCGGGCGCGTCCGGTCTCCCGAACAGCCGTGTGAAGGCACCGGGACGTTCCCTACACGAAGCAGCTGAGGCCCACGAGGGGGGTGACCCTCCCCAGACCACAGAGCTCCTGAGCAGTGGCACCAAGATGGGGCCGCCCAGGAGGAAAAGGCCGATGAACGGAGTCTGAGAAAGAATGCCCGAAATTCTAGGGTGTGGGCTTCCTTAATGTATAAAGAGAGTTTACAACTCAGCCAGAACAAAGAGAAACCGTTCAAAAGTATGAACGCAGAATAAACAGCTGCTTCACGGAAGAAAAGATACAAATACATGAAACATTTGGGGCGCCTGGGTGGCACAGTCGGTTAAGCGTCCGACTTCAGCCAGGTCACGATCTCACGGTCCGTGAGTTCGAGCCCCGCGTCGGGCTCTGGGCTGATGGCTCAGAGCCTGGAGCCTGTTTCCGATTCTGTGTCTCCCTCTCTCTCTGCCCCTCCCCCGTTCATGCTCTGTCTCTCTCTGTCCCAAAAATAAATAAACGTTCAAAAAAAAAAAAAATACATGAAACATCTGAAAAATGCCCACCTCGCAAATAACCACAGAAAGGCCAATGAAAACAAGATATAGATTGCAATCTGTCAGATTAAAACTTTATTGTTTTTATTTATTTTGGGGGGGAGGGGCAGAGAGAGAAAGAGAGAGAGATTGAGAATCTCAAGCAGGCTCCACGCTGTCAGTGCAGAGCCCGACATGCGTCTTGATCTCATGACCGGGAGATCACAACCTGAGCGGGTGTCAGGAATCGAATGCCTAACCAGCTGAGCCACCCAGCCTCCCCTCTTTCTTACCTCTCTTAATCTTCCTCCTCCCCGAACCCACCATCCTTAATTCTCCGACTAACGAACACAAAGCACTTGGAAGAGCACTGCTGTAACATGTGGGGGGCACTTTATTTTCTGTGGCTGTATTACCGTTGTCATTGTAATTATAAGTATTAGTCATTCCTCTTTGTACCAAAATTTCCTCATGCTCATTAAAATATCAATTATAAAAGATACCATGAGAAAACATAGAATATGTCGAAGAATCTTTAAAACAGATTGTAGCAGGGGAGGATTATGGTTACCTGGATATAACCGAGGAAGCGTCATATGACCCAGGGGAAAAATAAAACAATGGCCAGACAGCATCATCCCTTGGGATCTAGTGTGTCTCCTGTCCAGATTTATTATAACACTGAACAGGTCTGAACAGTGACTCTGGAAGCTGAGGAGAGGGCGTGCTCTGTGCAGAGTCACAGGATATAGCCCCTAAAGCCAAGGACCAGGTAGATACCCCAGGCTGGAAACTCTGACAGCTTCAGACTTGTGCACCCAGCAAACTTCTGACCCATGGCATGGATTGGACCAGTCAGTAAGCAAACGGGAGGGCCCCGGGGTCCCAGAAACCAAGGCCCAGATACCATGCCCGCCTCCCTGCCAGGCTACGAGAGTCACAGCCCTCCAGCCTCCCAACACAAGGGGCCCCTCTACAAGTAAAGATTCTTCACAAACAGCAAAAAACTACAATTACTCTGGTCTCGCGAGTACATGTGAGTACATTATTGACTGTCCTCTTTTGTCTTTTTAAGTTTACTTGTTTATTTTGGAAAGAGAAAGAAAGCGAGAGTGGGGGAGGGGAAGAAAGAGAGGAAGAGAGAGAGAGAATCCCAAGCAGGCTCCGCACCGTCAGCACAGAGCCTGATGCGGGGGTCGAGCTCATGAACCGTGAGACCGTGACCTGAGCCGAAATCAAGAGTCGGATGCTTAACCGACTGAGCCCCCAGGCGCCCCTTTATTTATTCATTTTTAAAGTAAACTCTAGCCCCAACACAGAGCTTGAACTCATGACTCCAAGATCAAGAGCTGCACATTCTACCGACTGAGCCACCCCAGCGCCCCTGTCAGATTAAAACTCTAAATGCCAGTGTGAGTGAGGATCCAGGTGAGTCTGCACCTTGTCACCCTGACGGGAAAGACAGCCACCATCACGGCAGGAATTAGCCTGAGGACGCGGCATCCGCGGATGGTGGTGCTGCCGGGTCAACGCACCTTCGCGGAGCAGCCGGTGCATAGACCGGCTCCCACCCACCCTTGTTCGCCCGTGTTCGCGGCAGCCCTGCTCATAATCGCCAAAAGGTGGAAGCGACAAAAGAGCCATCAACTGTGAGCGGAAGAGCAAACTGTGGTCCGTCCGTGCCAGGGAACACAACAGCCACAAAAAGGGATGGGGCGTCGGGGAGCCTCGGAAACACGGCGCTCAGGGGAAGCCACAGACTCAAGAGGCCGCATACGCTGTATGAATCTGTTACGCACAACGTCCAGAACAGGTAAATCCATGGAGACAGACGCAGGTCGGTGGTTGCTGGGGGCCGGGGGAGGGGCGGGGAGGGGGTGCTCAAGGGGCTCCAAGTGTCCTGGGCGATGAAAACAGAGGTGTTAGTTGCACGCACTGTGAATGCACTAACGGCCACTCGATTGTACGCTTTACAACGGTTCATTGTTCTGTAAGTTTCATCTCAATAAAGAGAAAAATTTTAAACCCCATAAATGGGACCACATCATTCCCCTGCGTAAAAGCCTCCCATTACTGTTACTTTGCGTCTCTTTCAAAAGAAATCCAAGTTACGGGGCCCCGTGGCCAGCTCCCAGCCTGTGGAGCGTGTGACTCTTGAGCTCAGGGGTGTGAGTTCCAGCCCCGCGCTGGGTGTAGAGATGACTTAAAAATAAATCCAAGTCTGAAATCTCACGTGAGCCCCCACCCCCTTCTAGGCCCCACGCATGCTCTTCCCGCCTCTTCCCTGCTGCCGGCAGTGCTCCCCAGCTCCACAGGCCAGGCCGTGAGGGCGCCAGCTCGTGGTGACAGCACTCCCCCCTATGCCCGTCCCGCTCACGTGGTGCCCTTGGCACCTGCCAGGCACCGCCCCCTGCCAGGACGCAGGTGAAGGGACTGACACGCGAGGGTCGGAGTGTCTGCCACGGGATGCAGGAGGTGAACACCACGTTCTGTGGTGCCCCACGTGGAGACAGGTGCTCACTGTGGCGAGCTCCACGTGATGGCTGTATTTCCAGGTCTGGAGAGAAAAGCCAGGGATGGTAATAAGTTACCCTAAATTACAGTGGCACTTAATGCACTCACCGCCTCTGTCTCGCCCTAACACATTTTCATGCCCCCAAAGGACGCCCTCACCACGGGCAGTCAGGCCCCTTCCCCACCCCTGCACGCAGACCCGTCTTCTGCCTTGGCGGATCTCCCTCCTGTAGGTGTTCCCTGTGGAAGGGCTCACACACGACACTCCGTTCTGCGTCTGGCTGCTTGCACCGGGCACAACGTCCCCAAGGTTCATCCACGTGGTACCTGTCAGCATGTCTCCCTTTCTGTGGCCGAATGACGTTCCCCTGCGCAAAGAGACCACGTTCTGCTCATCCATCCATCAGATGACGAACGTCTGGGTTGCCCGTGAACAGCACTGCTCTGAACGTCTGCGTAGACGTGTGCTTCCATTTTTCACGGGTGGACGCCCAGGAGCAGGACCAGTGTGCCCCGCGGTAACGCCACTCGAGTTAAACCGCTAGAGAGGCCGACCGTCTTCCACGGCAGCCGAGCCACACTGGGGCCCCACCAGCAGCTAATGAGGCTTCGACTGTTCACGTCCCCACCGTGGCGTGTGCACCTGCCTCTGATCCCAGCCATCCTGGTGGGCGGGCGCTGGGGCCTCGCGGTGGTGGCTCTTCCCTGGTTGGCTGATGAGAGCACTTTTCATGGGCCATCTGTACATCTTCCTTGGAAAAGCGTCTACTCAGATTCTTCGCTTCTTTTAGGTTGGGTGGTCTTTTAGTAGTTTTCTAAGAGTTGGTTATCTTTTCTATTTTCTGATCTCTTTGTGGTAAAATATTTTGCTCTCGTCCTAAGAAGAAAAAACTGAAAACCCTGCCAATTTCTAACCAGGGAGAGAAAAACCAGTTTTTCCCCTGAAGGGAGCTGAGCAGACAAAGGGCAGGGACAGAGGCACGGCCACCCAGGGGATGCCTCCACAGGTCCTGCCCTGTAGTCCTCAAGCTGCCCCATCCGGGGCCACAGCCCTGACTGGGCCTGCACCCCAGGGGGGCCTGCCAAGGGGAGGAGGGGGTGCGAGATGCAGCGGGAGGGTCCGTGTGAGCAAGGAGGGGCCGCGGGAAGACGGACAGTGCTGGCGAGCACCTCAAGGCTGGACCTCACGGCTGGGGCCGACCCAGTGGCGAAAGGGTCTAAGGACCTGAGACGTAGGACGGACAAGGGACCAAGGGGAAGCCTTGGGCGGCAAGCAGGGTGGTGGGAGGCGCACCCACAGCTGGTGAGGGGGTGGCCGGAGAGCCAGGCAGCAGCAGAAGGCCAGCCCTGCAACCCCACCTCCATGCAGCCCTGCTCTTTTCAGGTGGCTCTGAGGTTCAGAGAAGCTAAGAAACCACTTGCAGGTCACGGAGCCACAGCCGATGAGGGGCAGCTGCCGCAGAGCCCACAGGGGCAGGTCAGGTGTGGAGGCTGCCCCCAGAAGGGGACGGGGCCGGCGGGGGCCAGGGCCGAACGTGCTTGAACACGAGGGGGTATATTCCGCCCCAGTCTCCGGTGAAAACCACAAGACTAACTGACCTCTGCAAGCGGATCGAGCCTCCGGGCTTCTGTGCCCGTTCTTCCCTGCCCCTCCCCTGTCCTCATGGTCCCAGTCGTTCCGAACACCTCCCTGAGCAAGGCTGGGCAGGTGGAGTGGTCCCTCTGTCCCCTGTCCCCTGCCCACATAGCAGCCACCACCCAGGAGCCTAGCCCAGCCTTCCCGCTCAGACCCACAGCCAGCAGCAGAGCAGAGCCGCATTCTCAGAGATAAGCCTTCCTTTTAAAGCCAGACCTCGGCTCATAAACCAGCCGCCCGCCAGCCTGGAGTCAGACACAGGCGGCCATCCACGCGCCAGCCATCAGGCCCAGGACACAGGAGCCCAGGGAGGGGGAGGGGGATCCTCAGCCCAGGATGTCCCCTGGGCCCCACCTCCTTCCTGGGCCCCACCTGCTTCCTTCTCCACAACGTGCCCTCCCCCCCCCCCCCTGCCGGCTCCCACCCCCCCCCCCCCCCCCCCCCCCCCCCCGCTCCGCCCCGCCCCGCCCCGCCCCAGGTCAGGACAGTTAGAACATTCTGAAGGAAATTGGCCCTCCCACCAGCCCACCCAGGCACCTGCCTCATGATGTCCTAGCCTTACTGATTCCTATCTGGGAGGTCAGTGCTGACCTGGTGGTGGCCCTGGAGGAAGCTAGATTCTACGGTTGGCTGTTCCATGTCCCTGGCCGTCAAAGTCCCTGGCTGTCCTGTGTCCCTGGCCGGCCCGCGTCCCTGGCTGTCCTGTGTCCCTGGCCGGCCCGCGTCCCTGGCTGTCCTGCGTTCCTAGCTGTCCTGTGTCCCTGGCCGTCCCGCGTCCCTGGCCGTCCCATGTCCCTGGCCGTCCCTGGCTGTCCTGCATCCCCACCGCACTGGCCACAACTGAGGGAAGCCTATGCCCACCAGGAGCTGGTAGAGCCTCCTTGGGGGAGGATACCGGAAGTCAACGTGTGGTCACCCCAGAGGGTGGGGTCAGCTGGGCTAGGGGTTCATCTCTGATGGGATGAAGCAGCCCTCTGCTTTATCTGTCTTTTTCCCTGCAGGGTGTGGGCTGCATCTGCGGGTGGTGGGGACCGTGCCTCCCCCTGCAGCCTCCACCCTAAAGCCCTGCTCTGCTGCTGTCCCAACCATCCCATGGATGAGGAAACCCAGGCCAAGGTCACATAGCTGGTCAGCAACAGAGCCAGGACCGCCTCCCAGAGGAGGGTGCGAGGCCTCCCTGCTGCCTGGGGCCCTTCCTCCTGCAATGGAATGCCTTCCAGAAAGCCCCAGAGGGAGGGTGGCCCTCTCCACTAGCCACATGACCGCTCACCTCACTCCCCACTCCAGCTGGGATGCAGCCTCTGGAACACTCTGGCTCCGAGGCCCCCAAGCTTTCCCCCGGCGAGGGCCAGGGCAGGCTGTCCCGTCATCAGGGGTCCCCTGGCCCCGGTGCCGGGGAAACACCCACGGGATGTGCTGAGGCAGGAGGTGCTGGTTGGGGCTGGGGCTCTGGTTACCTAGACGCACAGCCTGGCACCTGTTATACAAGGATACAGGGACGGACTCACAGAGTGTGGGTGCCAGGACAGGACGTGGTGTCACAGGTGGGGATATGAGGTCCGTGGACGGCAGGGAGCCCAGCAGGGTTCCAAGGAGAGGACATGGGGACAGGAGAAGGTTTAGGGGGACGAGCCCCATCGCCTCCAGTGAGTCGGGGGGTAGCAGCAGGAGCTGAACTCAGAAGTGAGGGCACAGAGAGGAGGTGGCAGGAGCACATGTCACCTGCGCACAGTTAGGGCACCAGGAGACGCCCAGGGGAGTGCGGGTCAGCCAGCTGAGACAGGTGTGGTGCTCTTCCCCAGAGACTGCCCAGGGAGCCTCTGCTCCGGGGCTCCTGTCCTCATGGATCTTCCCTCCACATGGGGCCGCCCTGCAAGGCGCCTTTGACCAACACAATCCGGCAGAGTGACACCGTACCTGCAGAGGCTGCATCCCGAGAGCCTGACAGTCCCACCCGGGATGCTGAAGACACTCCCCTTGGGGACCCGGTACCACGCCGTGAGAAGCCCACAGGCCACACGCAGGACACGCTGCCCCCCCCTAAGTCAACGGCCAGCACCGACTGGCAATCTGGGACACGCGGCCCAGACAAGACTTCAGGTCACTGCCACCCCAGCCGATGCCCAGTCAGAGCCTCGTAGAGGCCTGGCACCAGCTACCCAGCAGGCCCACCGTCCTCACAACCGGGGGAGGCACTGCACGTCACCGTTCGAGTCAAGGTTCTGGGCTCTTTTGTGCAGCAAGAAAGTACACGTGACCACCAGGTGGCTCCAGGGCTGTGGGGGCCGCTTCCTGCAGGACCCAGAGCTGAAGGCCCTGCCCCCCGGCCCACCCCAGCCCTGTGGGCGCCCTGGGGGAGGGGGTACCCAGGCCTACCTGCGGAGAAGATTTGTGCTGCCACGGCCAGGAAGGCATCGGTCACCACTGTCTCAGACTGCAGGGAGATGTTCAGCTGACGAGCCACGTTGCGGTAGATACTGGGCCGGATCAGCTCCAGCTCATCTCCTGTGCAGTCACACAGCGGGGTCAGAGGTGGTCCGTGCCTGCACGACCCTAGTCCCACCGTCACACGGGCCTGGGACCAGCCCATTCCTCACGGCCCGCAGCTGGCACCGAACATGCCTGATCCCCGACTGGATTCAGCCCGTCAAATTCCCACCCTGACTTGGCCCCACCATGGCCCCTGGGAACAGGAGACCAAGGAGGTACACTGGGAACCCCCAGACCTACCTCCGCGTCCCGCCCCTCCGATAAGCCAGCCACCCCCCACTCCCGCCCAGGGCCAAGCCTGCTGGGCCGGTGTGGTGGGAATCCCAAGGAGGAACAAGGGCCGTGCCTGATGGGTGACTCATGGCTCACAGTGAGCTGCCCGGGCGGCAGGCGGACTGGGCAGGCAGCCAGAGCCCAACCCGGGCAGGGGCTGTGCCAACGACCCCACGCAGGTGGGCCCCTGGCTGCTGCCTCCGAGGGGCATCCTCGCTCAGGCCCTGCTCTGTGAACCGAGAAGCTGAGCCATTGCCCCAAGCCGCCGACACCGCCCAGGCTCAAACCTGGGCTCCTGGTGCCAAGCGGGTGTGTCTGGACGGGCGGCCACGTTGGGCAGAGAAAATGCCCTCTCAGCAGCCCTGCCCGTGGCCTGCGCTCGCTGCAGCGCCCCTGGCAGTGACGTGCTGGGAATCCCGCACGGCCCTCCGACCGGTGTCCCCCAGCCCAGGCACTTCTGCAGCCAAGGCCAACGGGGAGATGCCGGGGACTGGACAGCACGGAGCGACAGGGGTGTCTGCGTCATTCCCGAGGCCAGCTGCACTCCATCTAATGAACTAAGATCTAAATGCAGAGCACAAACCGGCGAGGCTGGCGGGCAGCTGGAGGAGGTGGCATGGAAATCCCCAGGGCCGGCCTGGCCGTTCCCACACAGACCTCAGGGCCGCTGGGGACCGGCCCCAAGACACTGACCACGGGGACGCGACCCATTCTTCTTCCTGTGTGCCGTTGCCCCGGGAGCTAGGCGTCTGTGCCGAGGAGGGGCTGAGGGGCGTGCGGGGGGGGGGGGGGGGGGGGGGGGGGGGGGAGGGGGCAGGGAGGCAGCGCCGGCCGTGAAGGGGCTAGTGCGGAGCGGCACCAAGAGCAGAACGCAGCAAACAGACATGAAGGAGAGCACCCTGGGGGGCCAGGCCATCTCCTCCCTCCGGATTTCACCCGGCAGGGCTGAGTCCCAGCCACCGGACATAGCCTGGTGCCGGGGAAGGGCCTCGAAGGCCCTGCTCCTGAGATGGCTGGTGCTGGGCACCGAAGCCCAGGCCGGAAATGCCGGGGCTCTCAGGATGGGACACACAGGACTGAGGGCAGAGGAACCAGCCTGGTCAGACTGGGAGAGGCCGAAGCAAAGTTCTTCAGACAAGTTCAGACAATAGGCACTCTGGGCCCAGGGCAGAGGCAGTGCCCAGCTCCTGCTCACAGACAAGGAGACAGAGGCTGGAGGTTGGGGGGCTGCAGGGCAGGCCAGGACGGAGGCAAGACTTCCTTCTGGCTCCCCCAGGGAGGCCAAGGAACCACCTTCTCCAGGGCCCTCTAGAATGCTCCACCAGTGTCATCCCCACAGGCCAGATGAAGAAACGGCTGTGGGTGCCTGACCTCATGGGAGTCTAGGCCCTCTGGACCCCTGCCTGGTTCCCCAAACCCCACTGGCTCTCCCCTCCCCTGAGGCCCCGGAGGGCTACCACCCTTCCTGGCAGCCTTGTCTGACGCCCCAAGGAATCTGTGTGTCTCCCCACACCCCAGGTCTACACAGCTCTGCTCTGAGTCCACACAAAACAGGGACAAGCAGACACCGGTGTCAGCCGGAGAAGAGGCAGCGTCCTCTCACACAGCACTTCCCCGCGAGCCTGGACCCACACTCTGCGCGCAGAGCCGCACCATCAGGCCTCCATCCCCTGCCCATGTGCCCACCGCCAGCAACCAGTAAGCGAGCTCAGTCCCTGGGGGAAGTACACTGAATCAGCCGGGCTGGTCCCCCTCTGGGGTGTAGACCCTGGAGAAGGTGGAAACAGTTACTGGGCTGCGTGTGACCGCGCCGCCCCCCCCCCCATAAGTGCCCCCAGGTGTCTATACACACGGGCTGGCCCCCTTGGTGGCTCTGAGCCTCTGAGCCTCTTTTGCAGGGAGCCCTACCAGGCCTCCACATCAAGGGGAAAGAGCAGCGGGGATTTCAGGCAGCAACCCCAAAGACCTACTTTCCAAAACAAACATCGGGACACGTGGTCCCACAAAGGATTTCTGTGCCCAGCTCAGTACAAGGGTCACTCTGGAAGTTTAGCCACCAAAACACTGTTGTTTCCCAGAGATTTCTAGTCTTTGTGAACAGAATGTCTCAGATCTGGGCGGAGCTGGCATGCCGGGGAGCTCTGCAGCGGGTGGGCCGGAGAGCCCAGGGCTAAAGAGGGGAGTGTGGGTGGGCCCGCCTAGCGAAGCAAGGCTATTCCTGCCCTCCTCCTCCTCCCCTCCCGGCCCGCTCCCTGTCAGCCCCCAAGGGAAACTTCGGCCTAGCAGCGGGGGGCTTCTCCCGGACACCCCTTGGCGTAGCAACGGGGGTCGCCCCCGGGGCACCCCTCGGGCCAGCAGCGGGGGGCTTCTCCCGGGCACCCGCCCGCCCCGGCCCGCACTCACCCAGGCGCAGCAGCACCGCGCACACCTCCGCCAGGCGGCCTCCGGGGGCGGGAGCGGCGCGTTCGGGCGCGTTCCAGGCGAGGCCGGCGCGCAGCAGTCGCGCATGCACGAACTCCCGGCCGAGCGCCTTGGCCTGGGCCACCAGCTCCTTGTCGGTGGGCGAGCGGTCAAAGGCGTCCATGATCTCGGCGGCGAAGACCGAGGAGCGCCGCAGCACCTCCATGGCGGGGACGCGGGCCAGGGGCGCGGCACCTGCGGGGAGCCCGGCTCAGCGCCCGGGCCTGGCCGGCGGCGGGGACGGCGCGCGGGGAGGGGGCGCGCGGG